CAAATGGAAAAGATCGTTCCTCATCATTTGCTGATTACTGTGTATCAGTTATTCTAGACGACAGTAAAAATTACAGACACAAATTACATTCAAAAATCGAGCAGGGTTTTTATTTTCGCTCTTTCTGACCTGTTTGGATAGAGCAAACAAATAGAAAAAATCGTTTCTCAACTTTTCTGTCTACTGATTATTGTGTACGGATAATTCCAGACAACTATAGGAAATATGCTTTGTGACGTTGAGTATGTTGAATATGTTCAATCACAATCGAAAAATCTCTTTTATATAATGTTTTTTTCAGGTAGCACAGGTTATCAAAAAGTGGTCAATATTCAGTTTAAGTTTAGCGTGTCTACTTTTACAGTGGTTTTCAGCAGTTTGTAAAGCATGTTCTGAAAGATTCGACTAGGTTTCACGTTCGATAAGATTAGAATAGTGGAAAAATTTAGATTCTGAAACACGGTTGTAGCGAGGCCGTCAAGGTAGGAGGGGTGTAACCTGTTAAGAGTTCAAAAGCAGGAAGGTGTTAATGTTTCTACTCATATCAATCAAACCATTAAACCGCTGGCAAGGAACACCTTTTTTCGATTTTGTCGTCCAAAAACAGGGAAATTTTCAGAACCAGAGGGGGATTAACCCCTTGCACCCCATCCTTCCGCCGCGGGCGCTACGCTCCTGCTCTGAAAGCACTTATGTAAAAGCAGGTTACGACATTAAGTAGAACGGAGTTAGTTAACTTCATACTATGCGCAATATGCAGTCGCTGCGAACTCTAAAATAGTAATCTTATTATCAGTTCGCAGCGAACTTATATTCTACATACATACATAAGATGCAAAAGGAGGTGGAAAATGGCATCCCTAGATACCTAAGATACAGAAAAATGGGTTCGCAGGAAACTCAAATTGTGCATGACTTCGTTGAATTATTAAAAATGGGGAAACTACTATTGTGTATTGCTAGGTAGAAATCACGACCAAGGAATTGGTCATTTGACTTGTGAGAAATAAAGACAGATACCATTTCACCGTTGTTGTTGTTTTTATGCATCGGGGATAGAAAAACGAAGAAATTAGTTAGAGCGGAGATGAGTAGAAGTTGGATGTGCATGAAAAATCAGTCCTAATGGAAAGAGTTTGCACTTTAATTGAGTATGTGATCAGAATTGAAAATGTGCATTTAAAAGAATACTTTCGGACGTAATAATGGTTGTATAATTAGATAATATCTTATTGGTATTTTGAACTCTGTTTAGGTTTCTTCATGAGAACACTGCTTAAGCTGTTCGTTTGCCGTGTGATTTGCTACCATTGTTTCCGTTATGTCACTGAAACGTTGCATCAGCTGTTCGTTTGCCTTCTGATTTTGTGTGATTATTTCCGTTATTTGATTGAAATGTTGCATCAGCTGTTCGTTTGCCTTCCTATTTTGTGCGATTATTTCCTTTGTTACGTTCAAAAGCTGTTGCGTTTTTATTATTGCTTGGGTATGAACGTTGTTCGGTAGTTTTTCTTTTTGTTCTGTTTCATCATATTTTTGATTGTTTGTGGTTTTATCTTCTAATGGAGACAATTGCGTTGCGTTGTGTGAATCAGCAAGCTGTTGTTGTTGTGCCTGTTGGTTTTCTGGTTTTATTTGGATCTGATTCTGATCTGTTGACAGTGTATGTAATTTCGTCGTGTTGTGTGGATCAACAGACTCTTCAGCAATTGTACCATTATTCTGTGTTGTTGCTGCTTTTGTTAAAAGGGGGATCCCATATAGCAATACCAATATAAACACCAATATAAACAGACAGAATAAAATGTAAAATCGCCATCCCCGATCCAACCATGATCCGATGTGTAATGCATGTTTATTTTCATGAATTTGGTTATCAGATCGATGTTGATAAACGATACAGTTTTTGATGAAATCAGTTCTCATTCCTAAAACATTCTTATATTCATTAATCAAAGCTTGTTTATTATTTGCATCGGCTGATTCGGGTCTAATACAGCCCATATATAAAACTCCACGTCTAAAATAATCCTTTAATTGATGTTTTACAACATCTTTATGTCGAAAAAATTCATCGATTTGCTTTTTAGCATGTTGAACGCCTAATTCTTCACAATGTGTTATGATCAATGCCATCCGTGAAGCTAATTGTGGATACAATTGCTTGACAGCGATCATTGATTGAATATCTTGTGCATTGACACCGCTTGCTAAACTACATACAAATGCAAATAAAGAAATTTTTTCCTTTTTTAAACAGTAATCAATATTTGATTGAATATTATTATTTGACAATTGCTGTGATCTATTATTATAATTTTGTTGATCAAAAAATCCTGGCATATCGAGTACTTTTAAATTTTTTCCAATATTATATGAAACAATACTCCTGGTTCTTGAATAGAGGTCTGGTTGCGGTGGAATGTACAGTGTATCTTGAAGTACCTCAGCAATTGTTGTTTTACCGGATCTTGTCCGTCCAATTAAAAGAATTGTTGTTGGTTCACAAGAATCAATAGTTGTATATTGATTATGTTGTTCATCATACTCTCTAATTTTGTCCATGACCTCGAATGAAGGACTTTTGTGATTCACAGGTTTCGGCACTGGCTCGAGATACAAAACCTTGGCGCAAAACAAAAAGTTTTATACCAGTTCTTTTTTTATAGAGAGTAGTCAGCACTTACGGTTGGGAAGAACTATTTGTTTTTCTTCCTTCTATAATAAATACTCATGTTTGATGTATGCGGTTGTCTACAAATGACGTCAGTACTTTTAGGAGCAGTGCTCATCACATTCTCAACTCTGTACATAATTTTGATGTTTTTTTGTCTGCTTCGCTGATCTGTTCCGGACTTTTCATTTCACGATTACGTAACGGTCAACCACACTGAAAAAACTTGTTTTAATATTTAACCCTTTAAGTCTCCAACGTTTTAGTGCTTGGTTTTGGGTCAACCGCTTATGAAAATTGAACATATGAGACCTCAATGTGACTTTCTTACTCTCGAAAAAGATTACTTTTCATTTTGAAAAAAGTTAAGTTTGTATAATTTCAATCTAAAACCAAAATTGGAGAAAACTTATTTTTTCCAAAATTCTAGTTAGAAACCAAAGTTCAAACATATCTAAGTTTAGACCATTAAGTTTGAGGAAGTTGAGGCAGAAAATGAGTTCAGATGGTGAAGAAAATCAAGAATGCCCAAGGAAACGAGCCCAAAATCTCAGCAAAATATGATCTTTGGTTTTATACCATTCCACCACCGACAAAATGCTTGCGAATCGTATTTTTGGTGTAACTTTTGATAGAAACAAGATAAAGAGCTGCGGTTTTCACCGTTGGAAAGAGGAGATAAACACGCCTCGAATCGTATGTTACAGGCTTTTTTATCTGGTTTTTCTGAGGTTTTCAATTGAACTTTTTGGAAGCAACGTACTCGATAGGTGACTACAGTGAATTTTCAATCATCCGGTGTACATTGAAACCGCCAATTGAAGATCTATAATGCTGCGCAAGGCTCAGACTTTTAGCTTCAATCGTTCAGGATTTATAGGTATTTTACTCGAAACTCTAAGCCGACTTTTCTAGCAATTCCTGGGGAAAAAAAATCACTTTTTTGCTTTTTCCTTTGTGATAAAAACCATTTTCCGCTACTCTTTTGTAGACAATTGATTTAAGAAGCCTCAGAAAACATATTAGAAAAACCTGTAATGTACGGTTCGATGCGTCTTCATCTCCTCTTTCCAACGGTGAAAACCTCAGCTCTTTATCTTGTGTTTATCAAGAGTTACACCAAAAATACGATTCGCAAGCATTTTGTCGTTGGTGGATTAGTAGTCTAACAGTTTAAACAATAATTTCTTCAAGTGACAGAAATTGAAAAATGACTAAAGTGTTTAAAGCATAAACATAGGTGAAAACCATTATCTCGGCCAAGTATTTCCACTATTGACCCATGTGAACATATTTTTGAAAGACTCATTTATACCTAGCTCATTTTGACGCCCGACAAATTGTCTACATTTCTTATGAAAAATGTTTTCAAGGTGATCAGAAGCAATTTTTAAAAGTCAGAAGTATCTGGAAGTAAAATAGGAAGGATTTGCGATCATTTTCACTCCAAAGTATGTATTGGGTCATTTTCCAGCAGATACGTTTTTTAAAACCTTTTTCTTTTATTAATAAACTAGCAGAAATACCCGGCGTGCCCGGATTCTTGAATAAAGAATTAATTGACTTTTTAAATGTTATTAAAGTTTTTCTTCAATTCATGTTATGAAAGCATAAGAATTTATGTAACAAAAATTAATAAAAAAATTAGGGGTGGGACAGTTCCAGTTCTCATTGTTCCTAGTAACTGGCAAAAAGAACTGGTGACCAGTTACCGTTCCTAATAACTGGAACTGGTGACCAGTTACCGTTCCTAGTAACTGGAACTAGTGACCAGTTACCGTTTTCTTCACAATCAAGATGGAGAAAAGTTTTAACTCATTTATAAACTGCTGCCGATACTTGTTAGGTTATTCGGAATAACCTAACAAGTATCGGCAGCAGTTTATACTCTTAAAAGAAAAGAGAGTAAAAAATATCCACTTAAAGATGTAAAATCATGTATATTTGTTTGTAAAGACTAAATGGTTCAAATAAAGGTTATCGATATGTATTATTTAAGAGGAAAACATGGCAGTATCGTCAGTAAGAACTGAACTACATAAGCTCGTTAGAGTATAAAAACAAGATAAATGAGTTAAAACTTTTCTCCATCTTGATTGTGAAGAAACTGGAAAGAACGGTAACTGGTCACCAGTTCCAGTTATTAGGAACGGTAACTGGTCACCAGTTCCAGTTATTAGGAACGGTAACTGGTCACCAGTTCCAGTTATTAGGAACGGTAATTGGTCACCAGTTCCAATTACTAGGAACGGTAACTGGTCACCAGTTCCAGTTACTAGGAACGGTAACTGGTCACCAGTTCCAATTACTAGGAACGGTTACTGGTCACCAGTTCCAGTTACTAGGAACGGTAACTGGTCACCAGTTCCAGTTACTAGGAACGGTAACTGGAACTGTCCCACCTCTAAAAAAAATCAGACTTAATCTTCGCGTAAAGAAGAGCGATTGAAAGCTGGATTGAAAAGTTGTCTTTTTCTGGGAGACATTAATGCCTCCCAGAAAAAGACATTTGAGATTTAATATTACTTTATGTTTAAAATGTGTATTAGAACAAAAAATTGAAAAAAGCAGTGTATGGCTGTAATAGACTACACGATAAAGTGATCTTAACACTGGGATAACAGAAAAGAAATGACTATTAAAAGAAAACATATGTGTATAGAATAGAACGATAAAAGAAGAGAACAACCTAACCATGAGCACAATACACATACACGCGGCCTGGTCTTTTCTTTTGCTCACTATGTGTGTGTGTTATATAGGTTCAGAAAGATAATAGATATCTAGCATTTATCGCTTTTTCCTTATCTCACATACGACAACATATAGTAGAGCACTAGCAAATAAGGAGATATCTCTTTTCGCACATGCATATCTTTCTGTTCTCTTTCGTTTCAATCGACGCACTGAGACAAAAAAATGTTTGCACACGAGATATCGTATGTGAAAAGAGATATCTCCTTATTTGCCAGTGCTCTAGTCAAATTTGGTAAGGAAGAACAGGAGAAAAGAGAAAATACTTGTGGTCGTACGGGAGTGAGTCAGCTTTTGTAGACAGTCCTAAGAAGTGTGAAATTGTTGCTTTATCGATGACACATAGATCAAGCAGATAAAGAAGAAAAAGATACATCACCATGCAGATAGATCAACCGGATAACGATGTAGATTGGAGCTATTCTCTTATCTAACATCATCGGATGACCATAACTCGATCAAGCTGGCCATCAGCATTTTTGCTGAGACTTTTCAGAGTGGAATGATCCACGTTGTTCTTCATGTCAGAGTAGATTTTTATCTACTTTCCGCTGAGGTTCAACGCAAACAAAGTAGATACAGTAAATTTTTTCCCCCAAATTAGTTAGAACATACTTTCAAAAGCAGGTTTACAGAATAATGGGAGCCAGTTGAACTGATGCAATGAAATTATGTTATCAAAGTTAATTATCAAACTTTTTTAATTCGAGTCTTTTCTGCAATATTTTTAACTTAATCTACTAGTGCCAAACAGATTTTCACTTCCAGTCGTTTTAATAAACGTTCGCCTAAGTCTTATTCTAGCAATACCGGCTTCGAACCATGACTGAATACAAAGAGTTTTGGTTTTGAGGCAGGGCGAGGAAGTAAGTTTGAAACTACAGGTTAATTACTTTTAATAAGAACAGAGGCACTCGACGAGCAGAGTAATTTCAAGCTGAGAGTCTCAGTAGTCGAATGAGAAAAAGAATTTTCAGTTTATCATTTGAAATGAGGAAGATCTTAGGAGTATAATACATTCTGCTTTATATACTAAATGGCTTTAATTCTAAATAAACCTAAGATAAGAAGGAGCTAAGATCTCCCTCATTTCAAATGATAAACTGAAAATTCTTTTTCTCTTTCGATTACTGGGACTCTCTGCTACACAATCGTGAAAGAATTTTTGGAAAAAGTTCAAAAAATAAGGTAAGGATAAAGAAATTACTACGCTCGTCGAGTGTTTCTGTTATTAAAAATAATCACTGTATGAAAAGAAGTTTTATTTTCACTTCTATTTGGAATGATGATTCATTTAAGACATGAAAGAATATAGGAATAACGAAAAAATGTTCTTTTCATTTTTTCGCATGGGCAGATATATCTCGCATGCAGAGTTCTGTATGTCAACATTAGAAATAGCAGTAAACGCTAAAGGTGTAATATAAGGTGCAATACAGACGCAAATGTCTGAAAATCTTGCGCATGTTCTTGTATAGGCGAATCAGACATAACAAAGAAGTTAAACAGTTAACAATGATTAATTAAGGATTTTTGTTACACATTTCTAAGGTTCAAAAACAAATAGGAAAAAACGAAAGATTCTTGTCTGAAATGGCAAGAGAGAAAAATGTTGCCAGAATATCTTCTAGATACCCCCTTAGCGAAGCATGTTCAGATCTTATTTAGAAAAAAGTTTTCTAGCAAATGATAACTGGCATCACATATTATACTGACTCAAGTTAAAATCTACGGTAAAAATGGTGCGTCTCTCAAAAAGTTATTGAGAGTTTTTCGATAAAAGGCAGAAGTACATGAACCACAACATTCGTGCGTCAATTTTAGCTCTAATAAACCACGTTCTGTTGTTTAGATTTGGAATAATTAAAAACGCGTTCCTCTCACCTAACAACGCGTTATCGTCGAATGCATTCGAACGCTTTCATGAAGAACGGGCTCTTCTAATTCAGGAACGCGTTCTTGCTAAACGACGCGAATGCGTTCTAAGACTGTAAGAACGAGTTCTTTTTGACGGAACGCGTTCGTCTTTACTAGGAACCCGTTCGAACGCGTTCTTAGTCCATAAAACGAGTTCCGTTTTTTCAAGAACGCGTTCTTGGTCGTTCGTTTTTAATAACTTTTTTTCATGGGTTGTCAA